GTAGATGAAGACATGCTAATTACCATTTGCATGTTTTAGTTATAATTGATAAGTTTCTGATAAAATGTGTACCTTGTAAAAAGAAATAATATACATCCGAGTAAACGAGTAACTTTTTTTTAGTATTCGATACTTGGACCTTGGATCGAGTACCCGGTAAAGTTGACTTCCCTAGAAAATATATTAAAATAACCGGTATATCATAAAAGGTTATTTGAAGTCCTTGATTTCATTTATTGAAAGTCAGATACATAATGTGAAATAATTTTTGTTAAATAAACATTGTGAGGTATTCTTAATTTTTTTTTTCAATTATACACTTTGTAGAAAATTCTGCCAAGGGACTGTTGTGAAGGGAATCGTGTAGATAATCTCCAGAAAAGAAATCACCACTGATATTGGGATGTATGTACCAATATTTTAATACAATCATCAAAGACAAATTTACCACAGGAATAAAAATAAAACTGTCTGGCATTCAAGGGCCTGCCATGGTAGAAGCTCTCCTGAACAAATATTCCAATTATTGTGGACATCATGACACAGGGCTCACCTGTCATCAGCATTAAAGACTTGTGTGATTTGTTCTACCTGGGCCATACATGTATTGAATGAAAACAATTCATAGAACCACAAGCACATTGTAAATCTATGTAAGGTCTTCTGTGTATGATGTATTCCTTATATAATTTGCTGTTTTATAACAAGACTTTCTTTCATTGGTACTAAAACTTAATACATGTACACATACAAAACCCAAAAGCAGTTGTGATATTTATTGTTTTTTATTGTCCCCTGCTTTCGCGAAAGCGAGGGGACATTAAATCTCATTCGTCTGTCCGTCTGTCCGTCAGTCTGTCAGTCTGTCAGTCTGTCCATCACAAAAACTTTAACCTTGCCCATAACTTTTGATTTAGTAGAGCTATGACTTTCATATTACACATGTGTATTCCTTGTGTCAAGACCTTTCTTTGGGTATCACCAAATTTGACCTTTTGACCTTGACCTTGGAGTTTAACCCACTTTTACACAAAAATTCCAAACTTTTACTTTGGCCATAACTTTTGAATGGTAGGTACTAGGACTTTCATATTTCACATATGTATTCTTTGTGGCAAGACCTTTCATTGGATACCAACAACCTTGACCTTTTGACCTTGACCATGGAGTTTCACGTACTTATGAAAAAACTTTAACCTTGCCCATAACTTTTGAACGGTGAAAGCTAGGGCTTTCGTACTTCATATATGTAATCCTTGTGAAAAGATCTTCCATTGGATACCAACAACTTTTACCCTTTGACCTTGACCTTGGAGTTTTAACTACTTTTTAAACTTTAACCTTGGTCACAACTTTTAAATAGTAGATACTATGACTTTTATATTTTACATATGTATTCTTTGTGGCAAGACCTTTCATTGGATACCAACAACCTTTACCTTTTGACCTTGACCTTTGAGATTTACGTACTTATGAATAAACTTTAACCTTGTCCATAACTTTTGAATGGTGAGAGCTAGGGCTTTCGTACTTCACATATGTAATACTTAGAAGACCTTTCATTGGATACCAACAACTTTCACCCTTTGACCATGACATTGGAGTTTTAACTACTTTTAAAAAACTTTAAATTTGGTCACAACTTTTGAACGATAGATACTAGGACTTTCATATTTCACATATATATTCTTTGTGGCAGGACCTTTAATTGGATATCAACAACTTTGACCTTTTTACCTTGACCTTAAAGATTTACGTACTTATGAAAAAACTTTAACCTTGACCATAACTTTTGAACGGTAATGGCTAGGACTTTCATACTTCACATATGTAATCCTTGTGAGAAGACCTTGCATTGGATATCAACAACTTTGACTCTTTGATCTTGACCTTGGAGTTGACCTACTTTTAAAAAACTTTAACTTTGGCCATAAGTTTTTAACGGTCAGGATTAGGGTTTTCATCCTTCAAAAAAATCAACATTAGACACAATATGTCATAAAAATAACATCTCACCCACAAAGACACCGAAAGCGGGGGACCACAATTCTTTGAATTTGCTTGTTACTCATTAGTTCTCATTTTTGTGTGAAATTTTATAATTTTCCATTTCTTGTTCCAAAACCATATCTTACAAATTTTATGTATTGCAACTTGCATTTCAATTTTAACTTGTTATACTTGACAAAAACAAGAGGTACTGTGAGCAATGAACTGACTAAATGATACCCCCGCCTCCCGTATGATTATAATGGAAAAGTCAATGTTTTGCTGTGGCCGGGAAACCCAAAATATGTGTCAGATCAAAAAGTAAAAGAGGAGGTGCACAATGGCAATATGTAATAAAGATTCTGTGAAGGTTTCATTAAATTTCACTCAGTGGTATAAGAGGAATTGCGGATAAGATATGAGTACCCCAAAGCGTAACAGACGGACGAACGGACAGTTAGACGTACGTACGGACGACTTGATGGACTATGACCAAAATTGTGTGGGACTTGTATGAGAGAAGTCTTTATTGGCTTGTGGGACTTTGAAGGTTTTGTGTGAGGTAAGTTTATTGACTTGTTGGACTTATGGTCAAGGTTTCAATGGCCTTGTTTGAGAAAAGTCTATATTGACTAAGGTTTTATAGGACTTGTTTGAGAAAAGTCTTTATTGACTTGTGGGACTTAAGACCAAGGTTTAGTGGAAATAGTGTGAGATGTGTCACTCTTGACTTGTGGGACTTTGACCAAGATTTTGTGGGACTTTATTTGAGATGTATAACTCTGACTTGTGGGACTATGGCAAAGGTTTTGTGGGACTTGTATATCAGTAAGGTCTTTATTGCCTTGTGGGACTATGACCAAAGTTTTGTGGGACTTGTGTGAGAGAAGTCTCTCTGGACTTGTGGGACTCTGACCAAGGTTTTGTGGGACTTTGTTTGAGATGTGTCACTCTCAACTTGTTGGACTATGGCAAAGGTTTTGTGGGACTTTGAGATGTGTAACTCTGACTTGTGGGACTTTGTTTTGTTTGAGTTATATCACTCGACTTGTGGGACCATGACCAAAGTTTTGTGGGACTTGTGTGAGAGAAGTCTCTCTGGACTTGTGGGACTAACTTGTATGAGAAAAGTCTTTATGGACTTGTGAGACTTTGGTCAAGGTTTTGTGGGACTTGTGTGAGTTCAGTATCTATTGATTTATGGGACTTATTACCAAGGTTTCATGGGACCTGTGTGAGGAAAATCATGGTAACTTGTGTGACTATGACCAAAGTTTTGTGGGACTTATAGAAGATGCCCTCTGGATATGTAGTACCATGACCAAGGTTTTGCAGGATTTCTCTGACAAAAAATCTCTGGAATATAGGAATGTATTTAACTTCAGTAATTTGTGGGACTTTTTTTTCTGTAGTCCCATAATGCATTGATTACTAGAAAACTTTTGAAAAGTCCCACAGTGATGAAAGATTAGTCCCACAATTTTACAGTCCCACAATGATCATTTGGTGGTCCAGACGGACATACCGATTACAGTATACCCTCCCACTTTTCAAGCGGGGGTATAATAAATGTTAAAATGTTCATATTGCTATTGACGTGACTTACTCTCATGTATCCGCATCAAAACCGAGACATATTGTTTATTCTTGTTCCTTGGTTTCAATACTACAATCCATCAAAATATTTATCACCCCCCTCCCCCCCCTTTAAAAAAGATTATGCTTCAAATATGTGTCATCAAAGTTTTGCACATGAGAACCTGCAAACATGCTTCCGCCTATCAGTACTCTCAGTACTTTGATTTACATTATAAATGAAAAATTATACAATGCAAATGAAAAATTATACAATGCAAATGAAAAATTATACAATGCAAATGAAAAATTATACAATGCAAATGGAAAATATAGAATACAAATAAAAAGAAATCATACAATCAATTTTTTTTTTTACAATATAAATGAAAAATATACAATGCAAATGAAAAATTATACAATGCAAATGGCAAATATGTAATGCAAATGAAAAATTATACAATACAAATGGAAAATTATACAATACAAATGGAAAAGATCGAATATTGCAACGTTTGACTTGCCATATTAATGAATCAGTCACCTGATGTGAATCACATTGAACAGGTTGGGACTAACTGCCAAAAATTTGATATACCCGTAATTAAAAGATTAATATTTTTGCTATAGTATACATATCATAAATCAGCATCAAAATGCGTAAAAATGATGAACTTTTAACAAGCAAGCATCTGGTATCCCTCAGTTTGTTAGATTGATCCCCGAGAAGTTTAGGAAATTCCGAGGGATCAATCTCCTAAACAATGGACGTACAGAAAAACTTGTTTTTAGAAGTACATTCTATCTTAATGTGGATTTCTTATATCGGAAATAAAATTTTTTCTTTGCACTTTAAACTTATATCCCATTTGGACGACTGGTTCCAACCTGTTTAATTCAGTTTCCAAGCACAGATGAAGCTACAAACGAAACGTAGGAAAGTACCGTATAAGTGGAATTTTTAGCGAGGATTTAATTTTGGCATTATTAGCGAGGGTGCCGAGATCGCTAAAATTGAATATCGCTAAAAATTAATTGCGTTCTATCTGTAATAGCTTCTTTAGTGTGCATTTTAAAATCGCTAAAATAACATCTCGCTAAAAATTAATTACCAGTTTTTAAGGACAAATCGCTAAATTTGCGTCTCGCTAAAATTTCCACTTATACGGTACTACAATTAAAGAGAGTTTCAATGTTTTTGTTGTCATTTCTATTCTTTTATTTCAAAAGTTTTTAGCACCTTCCCTTTATTTGCTATCTCGGATCCGCTCCTTGTAGTACTAAATAAATAAATATACAAAAACTATTCTGATTGAAATCAACATCCCTTCAATCCATTAAAACACGTCCAAATTATAACATGCACATCCGTGATACAAAGTACAACATTCACAACGAGTTAGACATAGATATCAGAAGTTTAAGATCACTTTAGCCTTGTCTGTTTCTGCGGCGAGCATCATCAGCTCATCAGTTAAAACACAGCCTTATCGTAAAACAAATCTCTCTCAATCTGTATCGAGCCGTGTTACCTTAGACCCACGCTGATAATATAAGACTAGACCAACGTATAAACACTGGAGCATTCTCCTTGTTTTGTTTCACAGAGAAGCAAATGTTAAAATCAGACATAGATTGTATTTTTCTCGGAAGGAATAAAAAAAGTTTTTTTTGGACGTGAGGGAGTAGGTGTGAGAATGAGAAGGTCGACATGGACCTAAATCGACAGAGGCAATACCCACACTTCTCAGATGAAGGATGAGATCTCAAAGATTGATTCTGCAGGGTACGTTTTTTTTTGTTTTGTTTTCAATCTAATATTTTCAAATTCAACAATTCAGTGTAACATTAAATCGCATGTAAAACAAAATATAACATAAAGCTAATCAATATATAAATATGCAAATACTTTTATTTTGTAATGAGAAACTCTTTTTTTTAACTTTCCTTAAGAAATATTCACTCATATTTCAATCTAAGGAAGCTCTAAACATTATCATAAACTCCTTTTTAGACAAAATGTTAGGAAAAATATATCATATAAAAGTGTGCATATTAAGACTTTTTCATTCATTCAGAAACATTCACAGGTAACACTGGACTTTCAGTGAGCCGTGGCATTCTCGGTGCTACGTAATTAGTGTCTGTCAAATGTCGAATAGATTTTTATTGGTTAAGAAATTATTAACATCAAGAACTTTAAATTGTTGTTGACAACTATGAGACGACTTAAACTCCACCTCTTTGCCGGACGATACAATGTTATTGGTTATTCGATATACAAATTGGCATTTGCCCGAATTTCTTTCCCATGTATATTTCAACAGTGAGGGAAAGGTGTGTAAATTTCAGAAGCTAATTATGTAACGTCGAGAATGCCATGCCTTACTGAAAGTCCAAACTAAACTGGGAATTGTCCTATAACATATGGTACCTGCCTTTTTTCCTACAGGAAAAATGGTCAAAGACAATGGACTTTATGTGAGCAGAAATCACTGCTGTTTACTTACATTTGAAAAATTTGGGAAAATATATAATGCTTAAAATATTTTAACCTTTCACAAATCGTGCAATTAACTGTGAATAATACTTTTTAAAATCTTACATCTAAGGACAGATCACTCTAACTGCATAACTACCCTAAAACTACCCTAAACTACCCTAAAAGTCGAGCTCTTTAGTGTGCAGTGTTTAGAGCCTCCTTAAGTGTAACTTTAAAAGAAAGTATGGTCAGTTATTGCTTTTTTTCTTGCAGAACAGGCTGTGAGGTAGACTGGCATCCTTTATAGTACGCTGTCGGGGTTTTGCAGAATTTAATAACATGGCCAAGTATTCTATCATAAATATCTTTTTTCTTGTCTTACTGACGCCTGTGATTGGTCAGTTTTCAGTAAGTTCAAATGTCACTTCGGACTTGGATCCAATAGAGGAATCGATCGTGAATTCCATTTTACGAACTGTAGGCGAGAAATTTGAATCCCTAAGTACCCGGATGAGCTCAATGGAACGTGGACTAAACACATTGCAGTATTATAATCTAAGACAGTTTCGAACCGTCAACACACACCTGCACACATTGGACAATCTCTTACAGAATATGCACGCACGCGTAGAACAACAGGAAGTGAGTGATAGAGAGCTAGCGACGTCAGTGATGCTTCTGAAAAGAGAAATCAAGAACATGGAAATGACGAACAAAGGGAGTTTTGACAGAATAGAAGAGCAGATGTTGACAATGTCTCGTGGTGTTCACCAGAATATAGGGAACGTTCAGAAGTCTATCATTAATGCCCTGAACGAGACGGTATCCCAGCAGGGCGAGGTGGCTAATGTCCTCAGAGAGATTGTAGTCTCGGAGAGGGATAGAACCAAACAGATTTGTTCTGATTCTCTGCTGAAGGTAGAAACCAGAATTGACAATTTCCAAAATTTGACAATGAATAAAATTGCTTACCTGGAGAACGTAACATTGAACGCTATAGACAACATGAATGTGACACTAGATTCGGTGAATGTGGATATTAACGCGACAGCTAGGAGACTTCTGGAAGAAAGATTGCAAGAATTTAATGACAATGTGCTGGACTCGATACGATTTTATCGACATACAGGTGATCTTGTCGAGCGAATCGTGGGGGCCACAGAAACAGTGGCCGAGGATCAGACACAACTCCGCGAGGACATCAGACATTTCTTGGAGGTTCAAGTTAATTTGACAAAAGGTAACGTTCAAGACGGGATAAAGCAGGAAGACCAAACCCTCAGTGAGATATCAAACAAAACTAACAAAATAGAAAATAACAAATCCACGGAAAAATCCTGTGACTTTACCTCGACTTTAATGGAGGAAATTCAGTTATTGTACAGAAATGGATCGCAAGTTTTGGATATTATTGCTGAGATGACCAGATCATCTCAAAATGAACTTAGAACAACGATACAGCAACTCAACAATGAAGTGTTCAAACTGCAAGAAATGAGAAACGAAGAAGAGAAACCACATCCGGAAATGTTGAACGGACAACTGGATTATCACATGGAGGAAATGTCCAACAACTCGAGAGCAGTATTCCACATTGTGGAGGCCATAGCCTCTAACACGGGATGGATCCCTTATATCTTCTCCAGCTTGCAATTCCTCGAAAACCAAATCAATCAAACATTACTGACAACGAAGAAGGCGTTTAAGGTCTCCTTAATACAGGACAAATTTAACCCCAAAGCGTCACTGGGACAGGAAGACAGGTATACGTCTAGGCCTCATTTGTCAGACGACCCTAATTTGAATGACAACAAACCTAAAAATCAGGAGGTTGTGAAAGATCACAGCAAAGACTCAGACTCATCAGACGTCATTAGTTACGTAAACCAAACGGAGGGGTTTCAGGAAAAGTTTGATTTTGTCTATCAGACAAACAAAAAAATGCATCGTCTACTTCCGGCTTTGACTCGACTGTTAGGGGAACCAGGTAAGTAAGATAGGAGAACCAGGTAAATGAAGATTTTCATTTCAACCCAAATCCAATTTTCCTTTAAATAGTTAAAGAAGAAATAAAACAAAGTTAGAAGTTTATTCCTCTCTTGATTTTAATGTAAAACAAACGACTGAATTGTTGATTTGATATAAAAAAGAGAGTGTTTTCTTCTTGCTTAGCTCATAGTTTTCTGTTTGCTCTGATTACAGTTAGTCTGTAAATCTTAACTTTGATGCAGTATTAATGTTCTTCAATAAAAACGAAGATAACGATGCTGATCTGTGGTGCATTTGGGAAATCCTGTAAACATGACAGAGACAAATAAATGCCGATGGCCAATTTTAACTACTCTTATTAAGATAAGGGCAATATTAACTGCTTTATCTAGGTCTGGTAAGGAATAAAGTAACTGCTTCGTTTTGGTCGGACAAGGGCAATATGAACTGCATTGTCTAGGTTGGGCAAGGGCAATATTCATAAATGTGTTATTAAGAAAAATCCCCTTTTCTGTAGAGCCTTTTGTTGTATTGGTGGATGGGCAAAACGAGTACGAAGGTCGAGTGGAGATCTATAAGAAGGGCCGCTGGGGGTCGCTGTGTGGGCCTCTGACTCATGTCGAGGCTTCCTACATCTGTCGCCACCTGGGCTACCTGGGAGGCATCGCCTCGGAGCCTGGGCATTTTGGACAAGGAAGTGGGGTGTTCTGGGCGATGAATTTCACCTGTCTCTTGTCAAGGCAGTGTTCCATAGCCCTTCCTGTCATTGACCCCGGACCGTGCAACCACAAGCACGATTACGGCGTCATATGCGGTAGGTACAGTTCATAATGGCATTGGTTGAAAATTCATAATGTAATTGGTTTTAGCAAAATTAAAATATCATATGAATTGAAAAGAGAAATGTCAATTCCCAAGAAAGTTTAAATAAAATATGTGAGTATCCTTTTCTTCGACAAAATTTACCGTCCCTTCCAAATCCAGATATACATTGAATAATAAAATCATTTGTCAACTTTTCCTGAGAATTCATATTCCACTTTTTTATTTTACGTCTTTACTTCCTGCAGATCATATGATTCGATTATGGTTTGAGCCAAAGGAAGACAGTGTAATCAAGAGGAACACAGGTTTCCTTGAAATACATCACAGAGAGAAATGGGTGCCCGTATGTAGCGACACATGGTCAGAAAACAATAGTCAAGTCGTGTGTCGTCAGCTCGGGTACAAAGGGGGCGTGGCCAGCAGTCCTACAGAAGAGGTCATGCCCTATCACACAGACATGATCACGTTTTATCATAACATCACGTGTACCGGAAGTGAGACTAGATTAACCGGATGTGAGAATGGGAGGTGGAAAGCGAACGGCTGTTCATCTAAAATACCTGTATTTATACAATGTTCATAAGTATTTCATGCTTTTAATATTCCTGGACCACTTACATCGCTGGATAAACCCAGTATTTTATAAAACATGTTTAAGTATATGTAATTTAAGCATGCATTGAGTACTTCACACATTGTAAAGATTATGTTCTTGGATGCATGCAATGTGATTAATCTATTTCAATATGTTGAATTTCATTTCCTCTATCTCTGTATCGGAACAGTTATTTATATCTTAATTTGTTGAGTAACTCTTCAGAATCTTTATTTAATTTGACAGTGTGCTAATCTAATTTGTAATGTATTGGACATGTCTAGAATAATTTATAACGAACTAGCAATGATATAAAATACAAGTTACATACACTCTTTTTCACTTTTCCCCTGCATTTTAATATTTTGAATTGATGATTGTCTATCTTTCATGACTGTGCCGTTTGTTATTTTGTTATCTTGTTCCATTAAAGTGTAAACTGTGTGGGAGGATGTGAGCAGCGCCCAGTATATTTCTGTACTCATTCAACGATGTTTTGATGCTCTTCTGTCTATAATCCGATATCGTTCCTTGGAAATTCATCATTCCTTTCAATTTTTTCTTTCAACAAAATCTAGGAAATAAATGCATCTACATGCACTGAGGAACCGAGTACAAATTATGCATGAAATTCTCAAAAGTTCACAACATTAAATTTAAAAAATAAAACTAATAAAAACAGACTTTGTTTGTTTCAGCTTGTTATTTCCTCTATATTATTATTGGAGGACACCTTTGTATCTGAGCCCGAATGTTCAATATTTGCCGGAATGTTGTCACTCGGTATTTTATTTGCTAATTCAGTGTCCATTTTCTCATCAGTTTTGTATTGTTCTTGAGCACTATCTCTCGCGTGGTCGCCATTCGATTGTGAAACTTCCACGCCTACTTTCTTGTCGTTTTGCATCTGATTGTCCGTTTTTGTATAAGTCGGGTTTGGTGAATCATTTTCTTGTTTATCAGTTTCACAATCTTGATCAGGAGAACACTTGAAGGAAAGGCCTTGATCAACCTGATCTTCATCATCTTCGAAGATAGAGTCGTTGACGTCAGAGAGGTTTTCAAATGCCGCTTCGTCTGAAATGAAATGCTTTTTACAGTTTATGAAACTGATGCAACTGACAAATACTCTATTTAATAGGAGTCTCAGCTAATTGAAAACCAAATAGATACCAAATGATTTTAACAATTAATAAAACTGATGCAACTAATTCTTTACGTAATATTAATGCAATGTAGGACGAATACCCTGTTTAACAGAAGTCTCAGCTAATTAAAATGTAGATAAACCAAAGTTAGAACTCAAATTACCGAGATCTATGTCGGGAACAGCCGAAGCTAAACTACTTCCGGATTCCGCTCCCACTCCTGGTTGTCTTGGAAACATGAGCATGATTTTGTCTCGTCTGCTTTGATGAATCTCCTCCGAGATCCTCTCGAGATTGTTGAGCGCCGAGGAGTACTTAGATTTTGTTTCTTTAATGGCGGACTGTAGGTCCGTTACATTCTGTTTCTGGTGTTGTAGTTTTAAGTCCAGTTCATGTTTGACTTCGAAGTATGGGCTGAAAATTAAAGAGAGTTAAGAATATTAAGGAATATCAAAATATTTTCTTTCACTTTATCTCTCTAGCTGTCCCCCTATCTCTACGATAGGACCAAGAGTAGAAAAAAGAATGTTTAAAGTTATAACGAGGAAAGTTTTTGAGTAGGAAGGTTTTCAGTTAAAAGTTTATTACACAAAACACATCTCCTACCCAAAATATGGTTTTGCCTTCTTTTTTTCAAATCTCATTTCAAGTCTGTTTGAAAATGCATGTATAGAGGCCATTAAGGCGTGACCTGTCAGTACCCTGCTTTAATAATAGACTTTTTGAACTTCTTTTCTAGTTGCTTTAGTCTGTTTTCACACTGAGCACATCGTGACGTGGCCAGTAGATGGCGCTCCTCACTCTCCCGCTTCTCCCGCTCAGCCTCCATCACCTGAAAGTAGTCCCCGGATGTTATTTTCACACCGTGAAAAATTTAACGGCTGCGAAAAAAAAAAAGAATTGTATTCAACTGATCAATTACATTTTTCTTAAATTCTTACTAATGATAATGTATCTTATTTAAATAATTGGTGACAGAAAGTTTTTCAATTTTCAGAAGAAAATTCATCATACAAAACAACGTTTTATAAGACATACTATCAAATAATTGATATTTCGGAACTTAGTCTACATGTTTATTGTTGCGAATCCGCCCAATGATTTACGTCTGTATGAACGTAATTACTCAGAATTTTTCAAGAGCCACATTATTTTTTTAATCATAGTGTATTTATGCGCATGTAGGCTTAGTGAATGCATCTTACATAAATTATAAATGTACATAAAGAAGCAATATTTGAAATATTTTTGAATTGAGGTTAAGTGTATGTATTTTGTTATGAAAAGTTAAATTGAGCGAATTATATTTATTTCTCAATACCCTTTTTCTTTTTGAATTTTAAACACCATAAGGGCTTTCTATACTTTCCTTTAATATATATACAGAGTCATACAATATTGTACATCATGAATTAATCAAAACACCCTTAATCAAGTTTGCCTTATTGGTAAAAAAAACCCCCAAAAAACTCGGTGTATATATATACCCGCATAGTGGCGTGGTTCATCATTTCTTGCCAGGCAGCTGATAGAGTACCCTCCCCCTTCTGCAAGAGACGTTCTTCCGCCAGCGTCACTGTTTCCTTGGCAGCGCGGTAAACACTAATGGCGGACTGGTACTGACGGGCAGCCTTAAGCGACTCCCCCTGTGTCTGCAATATCAGATTAATTTTCAGTATTTCCGAATTCATCAGAATTTAGCTGGCGAAGTTACATTTCTGAATAAAATTCCTATTTGCTTCTTCAGAAGTAGCATAGTTTCCATAAAAATCACTTATTCTTGCAGACTTTGGTCTTCAATGCTTACATTAATGCGTCATTCCCCCTCTTCTTCCCTGCCTACAATTGTACCTTTTTAGCTTCCTCTTTTAGCTCGAAGTACGCACGCGCTCTCTGAATATTCTTTCTTTTCTTCTCAGCAGCTTGAGCCAATCGCTGGGAGGCCTCCGTGAACGTGAGTTTATAGTTACATCTGGCTTCCTTTAAAATGAATAACACCTATATAATCGAGGTTTGTAACTTTTTTATCTGCTCATCTTTCTTTTAAAGTCAAAATAAACTTCTATTGTCCCTTCATTTGTAATTACATATATGAAGAAGGAAGGAAGTACGAGGGAGAAAGGAAGGAAGTATACGGAAGACAGGAAGTATAAGGAAGACAGGAAGTATAAGGAAGACAGGAAGTATAAGGAAGACAGGAAGTATAAGGAAGACAGGAAGTATAAGGAAGACAGGAAGTATAAGGAAGACAGGAAGTATAAGGAAGACAGGAAGTATAAGGAAGACAGGAAGTATACGGAAGACAGGAAGTATATGGAAGACAGGAAGTATAAGGAAGACAGGAAGTATATGGAAGACAGGAAGTATATGGAAGACAGGAAGTATATGGAAGACAGGAAGTATAAGGAAGACAGGAAGTATAAGGAAGACAGGAAGTATAAGGAAGACAGGAAGTATACGGAAGACAGGAAGTATATGGAAGACAGGAAGTATATGGAAGACAGGAAGTAGATGGAAGACAGGAAGTAGATGGAAGTCAGGAAGTAGATGAAAGAAAGGATGAAGTAGAATGAATGAAGGAATTACAGGAAAAACAGAAGAAAGGAAGTATAGGAAGACAGGAAGTAGATGGAAAGAAGAAAGGAAAAGGAAGGAAGAAAATATAATGAAGGAAGGAAGTATAAGGAAGGAAGAAAAAGGAATAAAAAATTACAAGGAATTATTCAAGGGAGTTTAGGAAAAAAAGTAAGTAGGTTGAAGGAAGGAAGTGCACATGTAATAAAAAGGAAGTATAAAGAAGAAAAAAGTACTAGGAATGAAGAAAAGAAATATCAGAAAGAAAGAAAGATTGTATAAGGAAGGAAGGAAAGAAAAGTATAAGAAGGAAGCATAAGCCTGACATGACGTATTTGGAAAGAAGAAGGTATAAGAAGGGAAGGAAAAAGTATAAGAGAAGGAAAAGTATTTCAAGGAAGTATAAGGAAGGAAGAAAAGATAGAAATAATTTAGTAAATCAAAGAGTAAGTTGGTAAGTAGGGAAGTAGGTAAAATAAAGAAACTTGGAAAAGTTTTTAAATAAAGGAAGTTTTTACGTGAGTACGGAGCTCAGTAAATATAAAGTAACCAAGAAGAGTAGTGAGGAAATGAATGTAAGAAAGGAAGTAAAGAAAGTAAAATAAGTTAGCATATGTTTTAGTATTGTGGGAATTCTGAATGAAGAAAGTAAGTAATTAATGTAGGTAATCGAATAGGAAAAGAAGTAGGAGATACATCCGGTTCATATTTGTCAATTAATACATTTATGCTATCTTCAGAATTGCATTTCAAACGATATGCATCTACATTCGTGTAATTACATTCAGCACTAATACAAATATCTCAGTTATTTAAATCAAATGCAAACACGATTTGTAATGCCATATCATTATATCTTATATAGATATAACTGTAGTGCAATCATGTTACAAAATGTATGTTATATGCATATAAATGTAATGAAATAATGCACAGTCCATTTAACACGTAAAAGTAATGCAAAAAATGTAATTTAAAATCCTTTCATATGAAATTATTCAAATGTAATGAAATTATTCAACATCTTTTATATACTAGTATGTTAGGTTCTAAAAATAGGTAATATCCTATATGATTGTACAAGTATACAGATAATATGTAATACATTTTATGTAAACGAAAATGCATTACAATTAATATGTAATATGTTGTTTTCATGTTAGCATTTTATAATTAAATCAAATGTTGTCTATATGTAAATGCATTGCATTGATCTTATAAATATGTAAATTAATGTAATACAATGTGTAATTTTTATAATATGTAACATTATTAACAGTGACTTACATCCAGTTCGTTCTCTAATTTATTGATGTCTGCGCTCGTCTGATTCAACCTGTCCAGTTCGGTCTACAGACAAAAAATAAATAAATAAATAAATAAATAAAAAAAAAATACGAAAACAACAGTTTGTGTAGCAATTTAATATTTAGAGCAAAGACGTTTTGTTAAAAATCTTATAATCTCTCATGAACTTGATTGGGACAGACCTATTGAATATAGCTGTAGAAACCATTTGGAGGGAAGGGGGAGGGGGTCCATGCCAAATTATTTGTGCAATACTTTAGAAAACATTGCTTTAAGTCTATGCTTGTATCCCCTCAAAACTAACGACACATTTTTTGTCGCTTGTCAGAGAAAGTTTGCTTAGCTGTAACCCCCTTCTAACAGCACTGAAATTGCTTTCTATGGTCCTTTTACATGTTTACAAAATATATATAAACTTGCTTTCATATTGCTTCTATTTTAGCCTTGTTTAAATTTTTCGTTCGTCCTGATCTTGATACCTTGATCACAAATAAAACTTTCGATAATATTATATATAGGTCAATTAATTTATATTTGCTTTAGGAACTATATGGTATATCTACATTGTATTGTTTGGCGTTGCGTTATTATAAGAGATAAATCAGGTATAGCCGCGCTAGATTTGATACAAACTGAAAGTGGCGAACTGCATGCCTCTACCTGTGTAATGCCTAAGGTCCACGATATTTTACACAATTTACTAAAATATCTCATTCTTGTACATTAATGTCTATCAAGTGTCACAACAATATCCATCTATTTTAGACTAATAACTTCCCTGTCTGATCTTGGGATTTTTGCAATATGATTAAAAATCAAATAAAAAGTTAAAAGTCAGTTCGAAAGAAACTAGTGCTAATTGTAACGGGGACCGTTACAGATGTTCCCCAAACGCTCCCCAACTCCCTTTTGGTGCCATATTCCCTGTAAGCATCATTAAATAAGACAAACTCTTTGTTTTTTAGACTTTAACAACGTTTACCCAGAAGTGTACCAAGTTCATTCAAATTTTGGCATTGCGTGCGTGCGCATGTGAATGCATGTGCTTAATGTCTACATGATCTATATATTTAAATATACTAAATATGAAAGTAGTTAATCCAAAAATATTTTTAAAAAATACGCTCATTCAAGTGAATTTTTTATTTTGCTCATTTCACGTGCACACACGTGCATACACGGGCATGGTGACCATCCCTTCCTATAGAAGTCCATTACATCTATCGTTGTTCTAAATCCCACCCCGTTTGGTTGAAAACCAAGGGAGTTATAGCTGTTTAAAGTTTCAACCAATCAGATTGCAGCGCACGTACACGCATGTGTATGCATGTGCATGGTGACCATACCTTCTTGTAAGAGTCTATTATATCTATCTATGTTCCAAACCCCATCCTGTTTGGTTGAAAACCAAGGGAGTTATAGCTATTTAAAGTTTAAGCCAATCAGATTGCAGAGCACGTGCATGCACGTGTTTTCATGATAATTGCTATATATCACGTTGTAGGATATCATAATGCATGGCTATGTTTTAAATTTCAAAGGATTTCGTCAAAAAACAAGAAAGATATTGAGACTTTAGTTTCAGCCAATCAGAGCGAAGCGCACGTGCATGCGCGTGAGATCTTGCAATTTTGACCATGTCGTCATGTCTATACTACTAATATATCCTCACAGTATGAGTTTCAAAGCATTTCATCAAAAAAAAGAAAAGTTGCGGCTCTATCTATTATATTGGTCATTTCACGTGTTGCACGTGCGCGCTCTTGCAAGCACGTGCGCGCAAAATGACCTTGATTCCGCAAATCTACATAACATGTCTACTGACCCTAAAAAGGTTTTACCTACATCGGACGAACAGTTTACAAGATCATTCCCGGACAAAAAAGTACCCAGGAAGAAGAAGAAAAATAATAATAATAATAATAATAATAACTAGTTTTAATTGTAACGGGGACCGTTACAGATGTTCCCCAAACGCTCCCCAACTCCCTTCTTGTTCCATTTTCCCGTAAGACTTTTTAAAAAAAAATATGCTCAGTATTTCATTTCATCAAAGAATTATCAAAACTACAATATAATGATATCAACTATATCCCATTTAACGTATTGCACGCGCACGCACTTGCAAGATGATCAAGACATGTTGTTTAAACCATTAACCTATCTTTATATCGTAAGAATCAATCAAAATATCATAAAAATATAGATGCTACCATTTTCCGAATATATTGGTGATTTTATGTATTGCGCATGCGCATGTGCATGCATGATGTCCTTGCATTCAATTTTGATAGACGCATAATGTAGGAATCAATTATATCTATTCATATTCTGAATTTCATCCCGTTTCGTTGAGAACTTAGAAAGTTACAGACATTTAAAGTTTCAGCCAATCAGATTGCAGCACACATGCATGCGCATGTTTTCATGATAATTCTTATATATCATGCTGTAGACCTTTATAGTGTATGAATATGTTCAAAATTTCAAAGGATTTTGTCGAAAAACAAGAAAGATATTGATACTTTTGTTTCAGCCAATCAGAGCAAGTGCCTGATCATGCGCGTGAGATCTTGCTATTTTGACCATGTCATCATGTCTATACTACTAATGTATCCTCATATTATGAGTTTCAAAGCATTTCTTCAAGAAATAGAAAAGTTGCGGCTATATCTATTATATTAGTTATTTCACGTGTTGCACGTGCGCGCTCATGCAAGCACGTGCGCGAGGAACATGTCATCATGCCTATACAACTAATATATACTTGTATTATGAGTTTCAAAGCATATAGTCAAAAAATAGAAAAGTTACGGCTATATCTATTATATTGGTCATTTCACGTGTTGCACGTGCACGCTCTTGCAAGCACGTGCGCGGAAAATGACCTTGATTCCGCAAATCTACATAACATGTCTACTAACCCTAAAAAGGTTTTACCTACTTCGGGTGAACAGTTTACAAGATCACTCGCGGACAAAAAAGTACCCAGGAAGAAGAAGAAAAATAATAATAAGAAACAGAGTAAAAACAATATGTTCCCCAACTTCGTTTGGGGAACATAATAATAAGAAACAGAGTAAAAACAATATGTTCCCCAACTTCGTTTGGGGAACATAATAAAGGGGCGTATATCAGGCTTACCTGGATCCGCGGATCCAAATCTCCTATATTATCCGGACTGCCTGAGCCAGTCGGCTCCGACTTTTTACAAGTTCCCGAATCATTCATGTTATAGGCTCGTCACGAAAAGAAAAATTACCAGACATTATAAATAAACATTATCAATAAATACAGATTTAACTGTGTATACTCTCTCCATCTTGATTTTTATCTCAATCGTCGTTACCGCTGGTAAATTGTCAAGGGGGCACTCGATGGGGATGGGTATTAAAGGAGGGGAAAGTTCTCTCTACTTAAATCAATTTTCTCTACTCGGACGTTTCCGTCCGCGCAATTTGATAATTGTGCACATTGTACCATGCAAAAAAGAGTTAAAACCAAAAAAAAAAAAAAAATGTTTATGTTATTACATATACGTTGTACTTAAACACGATTACAAATTGAAGGATATAATATTGATAATTAGTAATTACTTAGAATCTATAAAAATCACGAATGAACTAATATCAACCACAAAAAAAGAAGATATTGTTTGAGAAAGTGACACAACCCCGGAATAATCTAATCTTATATTGACTTCCATACATAATATATCAAACTTATCGCATCAATATTTAACATGATTTAAATAAAGACAACAGATTCCTCCGAGGGTCAAACAAAACAGCTGCTGTTCAAAGGACAATCAGAACAGCTGTTGTCCGAGCTATAAGAATTTCCGTTATATCAGCTTCTTTTTGGCTCTCAATATATTGTAACATGCTTTAAACTGTTAATGAATATTTCAGTTTATCAATTTGGAATAGTAAAGGTCGTCTTGGTCAAGGTCATTTTAAACAATATTTCATTTTAATTTTAAACCTCTTGAAATAAGAGGAGACTTGAACTTAAAAATGATAAATATGTATGAAAATGTATACATAAATCAATCTACCTAATTATATATATTTAAAAAAAAAATCAGTTTTGTAACAACGCACTTTGAAAAATTTTTTCAAAGTGCGTTAAAATTGGGACAAAATCAACGCACTTTGAAAAAATTTTTCAACGTGCGCTAAGAGTATACTTCAACATTTTTACCATGTGGACATTTAATGCACTTTGAAAAAAAAATGTATAAAACAAAAATTCTAGACTTAGATTTTAGTAATTGAGAGAATCAATTTCGAATACTTATATCGTTCGAAAAACGTTTTAATTTACATGTATTGATATATCCTCATTGAGAACAAGGAGAAGATGAGTATATAGAAGGTCTCTCAGCCAAACTCTTTTTTCCTTATACATAGCCGTCGGTAGCAAATTGAAAGTGCCCCAAGGGGTAAGCCCCAATTTTAATGCCTACATTATGTATACCTTTGCAAAACATTTGTGTAACAACCTACCTTTTAAAGTGCGTGGAAATGCATGATTGTGGGGAAACGGTATATGCGTGGTTTTGCGTTAGAAATAGGAAATGGTATATGCGTTAAAATACGTGATCATACATGTACATGTAGGATCTGCCATAATCAAGTAAACGAAGGGCTATACTCAAAAAGGAGTTCTAAAAAACAACAATCAGAAATTGGATAAAAATGTTACGGACATGTGTTTATATTCAAAGAGAATATCAAAGTTTAATTATTAAGACAAAATCATTGAAAAGCGTCTTTTGCTTCTTTTTTGGCACCGGCCGGGACATTATTTATTAAACAATACTCGTTACATTTACATTAATTTCCTTTTAGAAAAAAGATCAACATAATATTATAAATATTATTTTATTTAAAGAAGTGTTCAAATTAATAACTAACTTCTTTACAAAATAACACATACTAAATACTTAGACAGTTTTTAACAAATATGTATTACATGTATAATTTGAATTTGAAAGTTCAAAATGAATAAGTTAAAAAAAAGCTTTATATCTACTAAATGTAATATGATGGTATTCTTCACCTAAAATTAAAGCCTACAGTAAGGCACTGATATACAGAACACAGTTTGTCACAATAACCTGATTAAATTGAAATCTTGCATTCTGAGAGATCCAAAATTACAATTACTCTGTGTACTCTGAATCTAGATCTTTTAAGGGGCTTCTTTTGTAAATAATTTGTCTGTGGATTGTGCCATTCCATATTAAAGACTAAGTATTATAACACTTTATACAGAATATGCATAAAGCAAATAAATGAATAAAACAAAATCATGCATGTACTTGTGGCAAGGTACTTAAAAATAATGATTTTTGACTAACATAATGAAATATTAATAAAATAAATCATATAACATATTCTTTGGACACCGATAATGACAAAATTTAGCTTAAATCGAATGAATGTGTGGAAAATATTGCATAGTTATACATGTATACCATCATATTTGTATATAGAACATATTTTCCTAAAAAGACTTTCCTAAATTATTGAGGACATTTTAATTCAATTTCTAACATTGACAAAAGTCACTTAATAAGTTTTTAATAATTGTAAGTCCCTCATCCTTAATATTGTTCTTGACAATAAAATTAATATATTCACCAAAGTTTACTCTATTCCTATTTTTAAAATTCCTTTCCAACTAGTCCTTAATGATTGAATGTTATCTTTTTTTTTTCTTATTTCTAATTAACAACAATTTATTTTTTTAATCTTGATCTGAGAGTCCTAGAAGATGAAATGTATTCTTTTTTCTGATGAGTTTCACATACAATTTATTTCTATTTTATTTTAGTCCTGGGTGTCCTAGATGACGGACTGCAATGTTTTTTTCTGATGTGGTCCATATGCAACTTCTTTGTTTTATTCCAGCCTTTGGTGTCTTATATGATAAAATGTTATATTTTCTCTGAGGAGGGTCATATGCTTAACAATTTTTTGGCTTTATTCCTGCCCTGGGGGTTGAAGATGATGGTCAATGTTATTTTTAGTCCACTACGGTCTATATACAATTTATTTCTGCTTCATCCAGCCTTGGTGTCCTTTATGACGGAATGTTATTTTTTTTATAATGAGGTCCATATACAATTTATTTTTAATTTGTTTTATTCCTATCTTTGGAGTTCTAGATGATGGAATGTTTTTTTTCTTTAATGAGGTCGATATACAATTTATTTCTGTTTTATTCCAGCCCTGGGGTTCCTAGATGACGGAATGTTATAATACTTTTCTCGGATGAGGTCAATATACAATTCATTTCTGTTTTATTCCTGCCCTGGGGGTCCTAGATGACGGAATGTTGTACTTTTCTCTGATGAGGTCCAGTTCCTGGGAGTGTTTGAGGTGTTCTTTGAGGTCCAGTTCCAGTCTTTGTTGGGACCTCAACAGAGTAGAGGTGGTCAGCTGAGCAATGTCTGTTTGAACCAAAAAAAAAAATCAATTATATTTACTGGAATGTGTTCCTTGGGCTAAGATTCGAAAATGATTGAATCATCACTAGTATGAAATGTGTATTTTTATACATGCATGTTGTTTTTTAAAAATAGAGAATTGTTAAAAGAATTTTTACTACATGATCCGAAATGTATGATCTTGGCTTTAACCTCACACATGTAAGCAAAACAGACATTGTTTGTAACACTTCATCATATTATGTTATGTACTTGCCTATAAGTCGGGTTTTTTAGGAGTTATCAATAATCAGTTTTATATTGTACACTTTGTAAATGATCACCATAATGATAAATAAGATCTAACCTTTTGACCTCCCTGAATCTTCCTCTAGGCTGTCTTCCTCCTCCTCTTCATCTTCCTTCTCTTCCCTCTCAGTTTTAAATCCCGCCTCCAGCTTTTCTTCCCTGCTGATTTCTACTTCATCCAGCTGCTTCAGTTTTGGTAAGTCCTGGATGATTCGTCCTCTGATGTAACAAATGTTCAAAAGTCTTAGTCTGTTACATGTAGATGAGTAATTTATATACATAATATCATATCAAGGTTTTTTAAAAAAAATAATTTTGACTCTGAATTGACCTTTTAAAAATCAGTTAATATTGTGGGTAGATCTCGGTCCTAAACAGGCATGTAATAATGGATTTATTGTTTATTACTTTTTAAGTAATTAATGTATGTGTTGTTTAACATGTATTCTGGGTGTAATATCTATTACATGTCAGTGATGTTTTACCTGTGATCTGGGTGGGTTGTGCAGGGATTCCCTTTTAAATTCAGAATGATTAAACTCTGTGGAAATTCATCTGGAAGAAAGAAAACCATGTTTAAAGTATTATTTTAGATTAGAAATATCAATGTCACTCATTTTAATCATTTTTAAGTCTTTCTAAGCTGAGAGAGTAATAAAGTTATTGCCTATACTTCAGTCCCAGACAAGACTGAAGAACACATTTTCTAGGATGTTAAACTCCTTGATACAGTCATGGTAGCCTAGTCAGTAGATTGTTTACTATGTGATAAGAAAGTTTTGCATTTAAATCATGGCCACAACTGACCTAAGTAAAAAAAAAAGCCCATGTTACAGTAGGCCTTTATGGCAAGATAAATAACCCTCACTGCTCAATGACCTTGAGTGCAGGGTAAAGGTCTGAATTTAAAGCCCTTCTCCAGTACTGTATATACTGACATATTTTCTAAGTGAAAAATTCCCAATCAGAATACAACAACATTCAAACAATAAATCAAGTAAGTCCTTGACCTGATTAAAGAGCACTTTACTTATTTCAAAGTATGTAACCTGATTAAAGATCATGTTACCTATGTAAAAGTCCTTGACCTGATTAAAGAACACACTAATATCTATGTCAAGGTCATTGACCTGATTAAAGAACACATCACCTATGTCAAAGTCCTTGACGTGATTGAGCACACATCACCTTTGTCAACATATTTGACAGTTAAAAAACAGATTTCCTATGTCAAGGTCCATGACAGATAAAGAAAACATTACCTATGTCAAAGTCCTTGACCTGATTGAAGGACAGGTCCAGGAAGTACAGCTTTTCTAGATGTCTCAGGTTTTCCACACATTGGATCTGGTTACCAGACAGAGTCAAAAACTTCAGATTTCTTAGACATTCCAGGTTCTCTATCCTTCTTATTTGATTCTGTGGATAAAAGATAGAAAATAAAAGCATGTTACAATCCTCAAATCAGCTTTTCTAATCAAAGTTTGTATGTCAGTTTTCTTTGTTACCAGATGTATGTTAACATTTTTTTAAATTTATTTCTTCTGACCAATTACAACCAAACTTGGCACAAAGCATTCTTTTGGAACACAAACTTAGTTAAATGAGAGGCTACATGCATGTGTACATGTATGAATATTTAAGGAATCACTGTCTAGTTAGGAGGGTATGTCAGGGCATCAACAATAGTGGGAAACATGGGATAATTTGCATAACGGGCGAAGCGCGTTATGCTTAAGTTATCCCATGTTTCCCACTATTGTTGATGGCCCTGACATACCCTCCTAACTAGACAATGATTCCTTATATTTCCATTTCATTGTGAAATAAAATTGTAGATTTAGACTTTAAAAATGTAGATAAATAGATTTAAATCACATGATGACTTCCATGCCAATTTCAATAGTCCTCGCCAACCGATGTCAAACACAAAGGCAGCTGCACGAGATTTACATGCATATTTGGCCTCCTTAGCGTCAGACACAGAGACAGATGCGCACAAGAATTGCATGCGTATTAGGCTTAGCTCCCGACCTATCGACCTGCCTAATTTACATTCCGGCAGAATTATCAAGAAATAAACTACCCCTAACTTTCAAAGAGTTATCACTGAGAAAAAAAATTAAAAATGGAAATATTTATGTGTATAACATGTATGCTCCATTTTATTGCAATAGAAAAACAAGAAAAAAGCCATTTTTGCAACCACTATTTAAATAAAAACCACTTTTTGAATAATTATTTCAATAGTGGTTGAGAGTGCATTTCAAAACAATACAGATATTGTAACAACTACTTTAAAATTTCCCTTTTGAAATAATTATTTCAATAGTGGCCCTTATTTCATAGCAGGCATTAATATTCTGCTGAATAAATTCAAATCACTTCTTTAAGAGCAATGGACTTCAAACATTAATTTCCTTTATCTGCATATACTAATTTTTAAACAAATCAATTCTAACTCATACAAGTTTGCAATCTGAATGAGGCTCAAGTTCCTTTCTTAGTAATTAATGCTAAATGATCAATTTTTGAATAGGACTCAGGTGAGCATTGTGACCAATAAGCCTCATGCTTTTTTTATAGAGATGTTGAAATCTTACATGTTGTAAGTAAATATTGGTGACTTTATCGCTCAGTAACTCTAATCCATCAATATCTGAAATATTTTCCCTGTCTAGTCGCAGGTGGGTAATTTTCTGAAGAGCTTCCAGACTAGATAAAAAAAATAATAAATATTAAATTAATGGTCTCACTTACCAATGAAAACAAATCTGATTTATTTTTCATCTATAGCATGTCAATCAGAAGACATTTTTTTCAGTTTTCTACCAATCTATTTAAAATTGGACTTGAATTTTCGCTCCTCTACTATATGCTTCAATACAAATGTAATGGGAGAGGAGAAAAATGCAGTGGACCAAACAGGGGTTCAAACCCTGGGCCCCCTGAATCTCGAGTCAGGTGCTCTACCGATTGAGCTATCTGGCCACTGGTTAACGAACCCAGCTGACCACCACATTCCTCCCTCCATAAAGGTCCAAAAGACCCCAACCCAGGCTGATCCCTGGCAGGCCTCTCACCTAGTTCCAGGGCATGGCACGGCACCAAATGTAACAGGAGAGGAGAAAACCAAGGCCCATGAATCTCTGTTAAGGTGCTTTAATTGAGCTATCTGGCTCAAACCCACCACACAAACATATAGTAGAGGATTGCAAAAACAAGTCTAATTTTAATTAGATTGAGTTTTCTACTCTATCATGTTCACTATTTATCAGTCAGTCCACGTAATACTAATTCTTACTTACATCTTTTCATGGCTACTGTCTTTGACCTCTGGAGGAAGGTGTCTTTTTACAATCAAATGAAGAGATAGCCTCACAGGTTTGACCACATCTGAAAATGTTCATCTTAAAATCTTCAAAAAGATGTGTTTGTGAAACACTGAGGTCCGCATATGGCAGCTGAAAGCTTATGGTGAAGGATCAGGTTCCTCAAAAATGACAAAAGGAAAGCTAAACGTCAAGACCAACTTCAACAGAGCAAGAAGGTTGTTACATGTTAAATGTACCTAATAACTAACGTGAGGCCTTTTCTCAATTAATATACCTGTGAACTATGAACATGATGAAAGCTTAAGTTCCATCCATTCATTGACAAATGTAACGGTCAAGGTTAAAGTTTTCTAAAAGTGGACAAACACCGAGGTGAAGGTCAAAAGTTAAAGAAGATATGAAAACCCTAGCACCAACTTAAAGGTCAAAAATATTTATACACAAAGAAAAGCCTTGTAACATAGAATATAATAACAATTATGATATGTGAAGATTAAAAGCCCAGCTCAAACTGTTCAAAATTTTAACCAAGCTAGGCCACACCAATAAACATGATAAAATATCTTGTTTGTTGGACCTGCAGGATTGTATTTAAGCACAACTATACAAATAATATATATCAATTTGCACCATGGGAATTCTGTGTTATTTTCTATTCTTTATCTGCTCTGTATTTCATATTGTTAATCTGCTTACTCTGCATATAAAAATATGATTGTCCTTTCCATTTTTTTCATGCCACGCTGAAATCTTTTGCCTGCACAGTAATAAAACTATTATTTAACCGCTGGCCTGCTTGTACATTTTTTTCATCAAATGTCTGCAAGAAATTAAATTGGTGTGGCCCAAGGTTAAAGTTTTGTATATTTTTTTGCAAAAAAATGACATATTTTTGCAAAAATGTGAAAAAAAAAACAAAAACAAAAACAAAACAAAACAAACAAACAAAAAAACCCTCCAAGGTCAAGAGGTCAAATATTTTCATACTTAAAGTGTTGTCCTGTCGCAAGGAATATACATATGAAATATGAGAGCCCAAGTTCAAAGGAATCAAAGTATTCAAATTTGAAATTGGTAGAATCTGCTTGCAGACAAACTGAGACAGATAAACAGACAGACAAAAGGACAGGGCGAAAACTATATGCACCAAAATCCTCGAGTACATAAAAACAGCTTCAGTACTGAAATGTAATTAGAACTGCTCCGAGCTAAAAAAAAAAAAGAAAGAAAAAAAGATATATATATAGCTCATAGGCACTCCCCATTTTAATTGTTTAAAAAAATATATCTACTATACTACAAACAAAACGTAGTATAGTAGATATATTTTTTTAAACAATTAAAATGGGGAGTGCCTATGATATAGCTATAACACTGGCTAAAAAATCAAAAGATTGTGCCGGACTTGCTAAATCACAGGCCTCTGAATTTCTATCAATAAGCCGTTATATGATTGATCAGAGTGATAAATATATACCCCCTCTATATATAAATAGAGGGGGTATGTACAATGTATATCACTCTGATCAATCATAGGCCTGGGGCTAAATGATGCTTTTACATGTATATACATCATTTGTTGACACATATTCATTATGAACATATACACAGAAAAGAATATACCGAACGAAAACAAGTCAGCATATTTTCCTAAGTCTTCTTTCTCTATTTCGTCTGATTCGCTCTTCATGATTTACTTGATAAAAGTTGATTTTCGTTTGTTTACATCGGTAACAACAATCAATTTAGTTCTTATTCCAAGGTATTAAAGCACCATACTTCAAAGCGCTTTTCTGACCAATTGAAGAGTAAAATAAAACCTGAACGTACAACACCATTTTTCCGGATTGAGACAGCATCCCCATCCCACCCCAGCAATAAATAAATATAAAAATAAATCAGTTAATAAATTAAAAAATAAATAAGCAGATAAATTCATACACATTAGATAAATACATGTAAGTAAACGGATTCATAATGAAAGAAAGAGATACTTGTACACTGTAAATAAATAAATTGATAAATTATACATGTAATCAATTAAATAAATAAATCAATTTATTAATAAAAAAAAATAACATAAATTAATTAAAATTTTAAGATGTAAATAAATATTTTTAATTATTTAAAATATACATAAAAACAAACTTCCACCTATATCAATTAACCTTCTAGATCGTCTAGTTCAGCTCTTGATTTAACAAATACAGAGAAGGGGGTGTGGTTGCATCCCCTTTGGTTTTGGATTGAAAAAAAAAAAAAACGGGGGAAAGATATATAGTTGAAGTGAAAGTGAAAGAGAAAAGAAACAAACGGGTATACATGATAATGGAATTCTGGGCCGCGTTTCACAAAACTATCGTAAGATTTGTCCTAAGATAGATCTTACGATCATCTTAAGATCTGACTTATGACAATCATAAGATTTGTCACTGCTGTTTCACAAAACTATCTTAAGTATAAGAAATCTTAAGACAAATTCCATTCTTCAATATTACTGGGATTTTTTAAAAATATGTTTCACGAAGTCTTTAATTAATTTTCTTTTGAAATATTGAAATAATGTGTGTCTCATATAGTTTCTTTTGCAGACATAACCTCCGAAAAACAAAAACAACATTTTATAGCATCAACTTAAATTAACTGTGATTACTTTTGATTAAAACTACTACTGTATCTAAAACTTTGCAAATAACGTACGATTTTAACAATGACCCCTTTTGAGACACCAAATCGTGTTCAAAGTTCGTTCATAAATTTAATTCGATGCAGGTGTATTTGAAACGCTTCAACTACTGCAACAAAATATCGATGCTAACAGATGAAGAAGAGAAACGAAAGAAAAAATTCCAGTCAATTTTACGGTTTCAATACTATTATAAAAAAGCATAAAGAAAGCATGTACATTACATATAGCATCAAATATTACAGCATATTGAATTGTCATACACATATCGCATTAAGGTGGATTCGCTGCATTTCATTTCCGGAAATATGCATAGCATTTCCGACATTTTCTTATTTCATTTCCGACATTTTTTGTTTTCATTTCCGACATATTTTTTTTTTTCATTTCCGGAATTTACTGAGTACCTGTGCGGCAATTCAATACAATGTGCGGCAATTCAATGTTTACTAAGTAAAAGAAAATAGAATTTTAAAAGTATTTATACCAAAATATTAATAAAAATAATAATATAAAAAAACATCTATACATATGTACATACATGTAGCACCAAGTCTAGGTAAAACAGTTCAGTGAGCATTAAACTTTTTTTCATCACATGTGTAAATTAAATGTCAGTGACAGCACCATACCAAGTCACTGATAGATTTAAAAAATTGTATTTCAATGATTTATTTATGATTTATTCCTTCGAATTTTTCATAATTAAAGTTATCAAATCTGTTACTATAGGTACTACATATGTATTTAAAAAATGTCGGAAATGAAAACAAAAAAATGTCGGAAATGAAAAGTTGATAATTGCCCAAAATTCCGGAAATGAAATGCAGCCGGTGGATTAATGAGGATACCTAAGAAATTAAACTATTTTACTTTCATCTAATTTTGTACGACTGAATAAAATGTTTACTTTGAAATTAAATCACTACAATTAGAGACATACAATAATCATTTATATATTGTCTGCCACACTAGCTGTAACAAAATAAATAAAAGTAAAATTCATGGACTAATCAAATCCATAAAAATGCACATGATCCTAAGAAGCCTTTGTTTTTTTTGGGGGGGGTTAATTTCAGATGGGAGGGGGTACAACCAAAGAATGAAGAAAGAGGAAAACACAAAGTACGTACATTTTAGTTTTTCTATCGTATGTTTTTCGGCATTTTTTTTCGGGGGGGGGGGGGGGGGGGGGCGTGTCATTGTTCTGACTGGCCGGATATAGTCCAAAGGATTTTTCTATCTCTAAGAACCGTTTTCTTTAAATATATCCATTGGTTTCTAGCCAAAATACATAGTCGCAATACATATTGCAAGTTTCACTTTAGACTTAAGACATGTATCTAGTTGTCTTAAGATTATGATAGATCTTAAGATTATCATAAGATATGACAGTTTCGTGAAACGGCTATGGTGCAATCTTACGATAATTTTCGGTCTTAAGACAGATCTTAGTCATAAGATAGTTTTGTGAAACGGGCCCCTGAACTGTATCTCATCTTAATTGTCCATCAGTATCAGGAAAAGAAACCTATAAGAATAAGTAGAGAAAAGCCCTAAACTCGGTTTATTTTTAACACTCACAGAATGTAGAGAAATAATTAGAATTTCTTTGCAAATATGGATGCTGTTTCAAGAATAAGAAAAGCATCGATTTTTATTTGATCATAATAAATATTAATCGGAAGAAAGAAAAGCTATTTAGTGAAATAGATTTCACAAAGTATAACAGGCATGAACATAATTACGGAGCCCTGAAGCTACCGAGGGGACTTAACCCCGCCTCCAGTTTTTAAAGATTGAACAAATCTTTTAACCCCCCCCCGAGAAATCCTTTTCTGTTAATTTTCATCACTGACACAATTGTAGGTTTCTCCCCACCCCCATCCCCCTCGCCGCCCGACCACAACCATTATATACCGCCACCGCACCAATCTGATTAGAAACAGTTTCTTTGGTGCGCTCTAATGGTTTATGTGGCGATCAGCGTGTACCGAGCGGATCAAAGAATTGATTTATTGATTGTACGTTTTACGTCACCATATACTACGGTGGCTGGTGAGAGAATTTTTTTATTAATTCGTAGCCACGAAAAAAAAATTCGTGGGAACGAAATAAAATTCGTGGGAACAAAATAAAAATTCGTGGGAACGAAAAAAAAAAGATAAAGAATCTAGTGTATTGACAGATCGGTCGTAATTTAGACGCCAATGTGTGTATAGACCAGAGGCGCGGATCTGCAGACAAAAAGCTGAGAATATATGTTATTTACATGTAGCTAAGCTTATGTCCAGTGCATTTTTCAATGTATTTCACTCATTTATTCCTAGACGTTTCAAATAAATGGCGTGTAATTGTAAGGGTTTTTTTTTAGTCAATCACTCAATGTATATTTTCACAATCAGTGGCAGAGTAGGTCCCTATTATTGGGAACATGACATCTTAAAAATGAAAGCAATACTAATGTTGATACTATTTATTTATTCATCAGCTCTTCATGCAATTAAGCGGCAAAAATCAAATTTCAATAATTAATGACGATTCAGGCACATTATTCAATAACCAAAATTAAAACATTTCTGTGAAGTCATCTTTTGTTAAACCTGGTTCAATAAATTTGTTATTGTCCTGCACCCCGTCCAATAAGTTACCTGTAGGTGTCCAATAAGTTTCAACTTATTGGACAGGTACAGGTAACGTTAAAATGAGAACAAAGAGCGAGGCAAATAAGTAAACAGCACTTAAAAGGCAATGACAAATCAAACAATTTAATATGAACAACGTAGGAAAATAGTAGCGTTAAATGTTAATATTTCACAAAAAATCCTATTGAAAATGGCACAAAAAATCCAGTGAATTGAATGTCTCAGATTCATTATTGTAGACGCATCCGTGGCTCCGATCATAAAGTTCCTGAATTCACCGTTCATTGCTATATAATAGATTCATTTCCCAATGCTTGATTCACGGAACATAATATAGAATCCAATGGACACAAAGAATGAATGAGAAGAATGTGTTTTCTTACACACAACCTTGGGCTTTTTGTTTATTGAAATATCCATTTTTCCGCATTTAGCACAAAATTTCGCTCACGAAATTCCAACAGAATCTGTAATTTCGTTCAGTGATTTATTACCATGTCTACCTAGTCCTGCGTCGTTTGAGCGAGTGTCTGTCGTTGTTTTAAGGAGTGACTGGGGTAAAATCCTTCCGAGTTCGAAACCTGCACACAAAAGAGAAGGTGTTGCATTTAAAAAAAAAATACACCAGAAATAATCTCCGAATTTCAAAAATGTAGGAGTAAAATACTTCAAATCCTATTGCTTTACAAAAGTTACCTGTTAACGGGAAACTCCGAAACATAAGAATATGTATCCGGATTTCATAGTAAAAACTTGAACTGAGGCATCTTGGTGTAATCGATAAATGGCATCGTCAAAACACCCGATTCTGAAGGTATTTTTTCAAAATCAAAACGCACGTCGTCATCCGTGGTCGTTGCGTTGTAAAATGAATAAATTGTCAAGAATTTAGTAGAACTGACTTTTACGCATGCGTAGTATAGATAAAAAAATGTCGCAATGCGGACAAATAAGACTAAACAAAGTTAATGTTCATATTTATCGATATAAAACACCTCTCGATGATTCCTACTATTAATAAAATCAGAAGAAAAACCAAAACTGGTTTTCTTTGGCCTAACTTGATGAACAGTGCCAGGTAGTCATCCAAGCAGAATGAGACCTTACCTGTGGCTGTCCAATAAGTTAACAATGGAAGTGTTCGACAATGGTGAAATGTTTTAAGTAAGTTATAAGCCTCAAACTGACCATTATGTCAGATATTAGACTCTCCTCGGCGCTAACGCGCCTCGGGTCGTCTAATATCTGACATAATGGACAGTTTTCGTCTTATAACCATTACCGACTTTAAACAAAAAATCCAGTTAACTCAGTCCAATTGAATGACAATAAGTCCGTTCATCTTGAATGACATACAAGAGAAGAACCTAAAATGACATTACATAGCACAACTTTATTTCGTGGTCACGAATTTT